ATTTCGGATGCTCTCAATCTCTTCAAGAGTGTGCCCCTCAAGAACACTAAGGGTGCCTTCCACTTTCCCCAAGTGTTGGCCAAAGATCTCCACGGCGTCCATCCCTGCGTTCATCTTTATCACCCACTCTTTACCGAGCGAGACGTCCTCAGGCAGGACCTCCACTTCATCCTCGCTCACCTCAGTGGCAGATGGTTCTTGGGATGTAAGCCCTTCGTTTGACACAACCTCAGGTGGCACCTCCTGGCCCTTGTTGGTGGCATTTCTCTTTTTGTTACGGCCGCTCTTGCCAGCAGCATCCTGGATGACGTTGGCTTGAGTGTTGGCAGCGTTAATTTCTCCGTCGTTCGCCATTCCCTTAGTCGCAACCTTTGCTCTGATACCAGTTGTCACGCCCTTAGTTGTTAACTAAGTACACGTGCGGCACTTGACAATTTGCTCACGTTCTTGCTATGCTAAGTCAGCCTTACAACACTCAAGATCGCTAAGAGAATGGCAGAAAGAACACAAGAGAATTGTTAAAGGAAGCTTTGTATTGGAGAGAACTTAAATTGTTTTCTTGATGAATTACAAATGAATGGCCTACTTTATATACTAGTCTCCTAGGGGCTAGTGTACAAATATTAATTGTTACACAAGTCCTTAATATTTACAAGATAAGGGCTTTCTCTAGAATTCTCTACAAGCCTAGAAGATTCCAAGGACTTTCCTAGTAAATTCATAAACATCTAGGATCTTCCAAAGGAAATGTCCATACTTCTCTAGAATCTTCTCACAAATGCAAGCATTCCTCCTATGTAAGCTTCCACATGGCATTAATATATGCCAAATGGCGCTTATGTGGCATGATGACATGGCGAGTCATCACATCTAGTTCTATTAATTCAGGTCTTGACGAATGTTGAAAGCCCACAAATTTTGAAGATTAATTAATGAAACCATATCATATCACTAGAACAACGGTGTCATATTAGTAGCTTTTTGGCTCATGGACTTTGTAATGATTACTAGTCGCACTTCCGAAAAACCCTCTATAAATATCGATCGAAATCGGTCGAAAAACTAAAAAAAAAATGACTAATTTCCGACCAATTTTAATCCATCAAAATTAGGTCGGTCAATAATAAAAAGCGACCGAAGTCAGTAGTAATTTCCGACCAATTCGGTCGGTCAATTAAATTTCACAAACGACCAAAGAAAAAAAACATCTGCCAAAAAAACCGACTAAAGTCCGTCTGGGAATGGGTATGTACTGTGGTAGGATATATTCTACCACTAGACCATTGGTATATTTTGGTTTAAGATTTTTTTTTATTTTATTTGTAATCTTTAATTGCATTTCCGCGCGAAAATAACCGACAAATTTCAGTCAGTTTTATAAAAAAATATAGAATTATCGACCGAAGACGGTTGGTTTTTTAAAATGACCGACTGAAATAACCGACCGATTTCGGTAGATTTTTTGAATATTAATTTTAATTTATTTTACATGAACCGACCAAAGTTGGTCGATTTCTAAAAAAATAATTTCGCAGGATGCCAAAATTGTTTCCTGTATTTAATTTGAGCCAAAAATACCGACCGAAGTTGGTCGGTTTCGCATATATATATATATATATATATTATTTTTTTTTGAAACACATACCGAATCTGTCGGTCGGCCGCGGTCGATTTTGACCGAATTTCTAGTAGTGACTACAAACAAAGAGAAGCCTTTGGTATATAGTAAAAGATTTTTTCTAATTGCAATAAGGGCTTTAATTTGAAGACAACAAGCAAAGGCGGATCCACAATTTTAATTTGATGAGTTTAATAACAAATTCAGTAAAATTCCATAAGTGTGGTATGGGGAGGATAGTGTGTACCAGGGGCGGACCCACGTAGGGTTAAGAGGGTTCAAATGAATCCGCTTCGTCGAAAAATAACATTGTATATATAAGTATATTTTATATTTCTAAGAATATTTTATGTATAAAAATTATTTTGACCCCACTTGAAACATTGATGATGAATGGTTTGTTGGCAAAGTGGGTTCAAGTTTTCCCCCAAGGTCTTGAGTTTGAAACTAGTCAGAACTCTTTTTTGTATACAATTTTCTTATTTAAATACGACGTCGTTTATGTCTAAAATACAGCACCCCAATTCCGAAACCCTTCTCTATTCTCTTGTTCTCTGCATATTTCATAAAAAATGTTGGCATCTTTTAGTTTAATTTAAAGGTCATATTGCTTCCTTCCATAGTTGTCTCCTTCCATTAGCCAATATCGTTTCGTGTTGGTTGTCGCCTCTCACTCTCTCACCCTCAACTATCACCATCAGGTTTCTCTCTTATTTCTAATCTTTTTCTTGTACATATAAATTAGGTATATCTTATCATAAAGTGATTTAGGGATGACTAATTGACTATAACACATTGAATTCAGATTAATCTTGTTTTCTAAGTGTATGAGTGTATCTGTGTTTGGCTAAATATATTATATAGGTGTTCCTTTCAATTAACTTAATTATTCCATGATATAAGTAATCTGCTTTAAAATACTTGCTTATCACTAGAAAATGCATTGCTGATTTTTTTATTTGTTCTCTTTGTTTCTTCAAGAAAAGTTATGATGAAAACAATAACTCATGTAAAGACATTTTGAACTTCCAAAGTTGTGGTCCAAAGCTCTTTAACGATGATTAAAATCTCATCTAACTATTTTATAATATAATGATATGTAAAATAAAAGAAAATTAAACCATTGGTGAAGAATGAATAAATATTAATTTAAATTTAAGTTTAATTAAATTATTCTTCTAATTCGAATTTAATTTGGTAATCCAGTTTATGTTACAATGAAGAGATTTTATCCTCCGGTATCTTCCAAGTTGCCACAATCAAGTTCATCCTCTCTAATTGCTACTCCCGTGGAAGAAAATTTGAACCAATTAGTAGAACAACATCAATCCTCTAAAAACAAAGACAAGGAATAGATCTCGATTCTTTAAAGACTAATCCAAAGGAGAGATTACCCATTAGAGACTTTCATCCAAATGAGCGTAATGAGATTAGAAGAGAATACCTCTGAAGAGGTCCTTGCCAACCCCGATATCATAAGTTTCCTCGACCAGATTTTTCGGGCTTAAAGCGTCATTTCATTCCTAAATGATTTAAAGGATATCATAATTGATTGGAGTATAGTGTGATAGAAGATGCAGCTTATTGTTTGTATTGTTACTTATTTCAAGATGAAGGTATTCATCAAGGTAGAAGTGATGTATTTTTAAAGTTTAGGATTTAAGAGTTGGCACAAAAAGAACAGATTAGATAAGCATGGGTCGAGCAGTATTCATAGTCAGGCAAAAAGGAAATATGAAGATCTATTAAAACAAAAACAGTCAATTCAAACTTCATTTGATAGGCAATCCAGTCAAACCAAGCTCGAATACAAAATTCGCTTGAAGGCTTCAATTGAGGTGGTGAGACTCCTATTGAATCAAGGATTGGCATTTCGTGGAC